TTGATATTTTATGGTACTTCGTCATCCAATTAACAAACTCTCGTCATATCTCGTATTCCAACTAAAACGGCCCCCCAACTAAATCCCATGGATATGACCCAATATCCAAGGTATGGAGTCACAATTGTTGTTTCATTATTTGCACGGAAGACAGAATCTTACGTCATGTTTGGAGTGCTTAAAAATAAGTATTTATTCAAAACAATTGTTTATTTAAGTTATTAAGTACTTATTGGTATTTTGAAAATAAGTATTTATTTTAAAAATATGGGCTTATTTTTTAAGTCCAAATTTTCAGCTTTTTTTAAGTGTTTATGTAATAAATATTTATTCAATTTATTTTTCTTCCAATTAAAATCATCACTAGTTGAATTTTAAAATACCACTTATAAAATTATCTCTATTTAAATTTTATAAAAGTACTTTTGTGAAAGCATTTTTATAAAAATACTTTCATAAAAGTGTTTTTATAAAAGTGCTTTCAAAGGGTATATTTTGAAAATTTGAAAAAATAAAGGACAAAATAGTCACAAATGTTTATTAGAGAAAAAGACTACCAAACACCCAATATAAAATTAGTGCTTATTTTAAAAAATAGCATTTGAAAAAATAAAGGACAAAATAGTCACAAATGTTTATTAGAGAAAAAGACTACCAAACACCCAATATAAAATTAGTGCTTATTTTAAAAAATAAGCACTTGAAAAAATGAAGGACAAAATAGTCACAAATGTTTATTAGAGAAAAAGACTACCAAACACCCAATATAAAATTAGTGCTTATTTTAAAAAATAAGCACTTGAAAAAGTTGGGTGCCAAATACAAATAAGTGCTTATTTGAATAAGCACTCCCAAACATGACCTTAAACTCACATGAATGAGATCAGATCTTCTCCTCAGAGAACACACCTTACACTAATCTCACAGTGCCTCGCATTTGTGCGTTGAAAACATCTCCTGTACATGATGTTATCATTCATGAGAAGATATTCCCAACGCATGGCTGTGATGCACTGTGAAGATGGTGTGAGGCGTGCTCTATGAGGAATAGATCCGAACTCCACATGACTAAGGGGCCTTTGGTTAACAGCTTAAATGTTGCTTGTTGAAATGAAAACTGCTTTGTATTAGATTTTATGGGGACTTTATATATAGTCCTTAGTAATAATTTTAAATATTTTATTATATAATTATTTTATCCATTAAATGGTAAAGCAATAAGTCGTTCAGTTTGTCAACTTCAGATGTAGTGGCTTTGAAGCTCTGGTTCAGCTACTTTGGGAGTGAGCTGAAGATTCAGATAATTAAGCTGCTTTAGCTACTTTAGAGCACTCCAGATACGTTATTGAAAGAGGTTGAAGTAGGCATCCCTTCAATGGTTGACTGAGACTGACATGCCATTTGGGCTCTGCAAAATTTTCACCACTATATTTTCATGTGGGGCCCACTTTGAGAAAGCCAAAAGCTGCTGCACTTCATCCCTCCCAATCGGGTAGTTTGAGTAGGGCTGTCAATGAACTCTAATAGTGATTTGGGTCAAGGTTCAAAGTATCGACATAGGCCGATATGTTGATATGACATATCAACTTGTATTGGTATTTTTTTAGGTCTTATTTATTTTTTTTGAAATCGGTTTAGAGGAATCGATCTAAGGCCCGACTACCTTCTAAACTAGTGTCTAACCTGATACAACCCCTAGAGGGGCATATCGGGAAACCATCGGCACGATACGTATCAATCGATATGGGCTGATATTTATTGATACTTTGAACCTTAATTTGGATTTTAGAACTTGTAGATTTTACCCTATCCAAATAAAAATTATTATTATTATATATAAAATATAATTATATTATACAATTATATAAGTTTTATAATTGATAAATTTAATACTTTATATTTATATATACTTATTATACATAAGTTAAAAGTAATTAATTATTGTAAAACTTTTTTTTTGACATTTTGAGAACAATATGGTGGATGGGGATTAAATCCAAATCGATACCTTCCAAAGATTTGATAATTGGATCGAATCGATGTAGATGTAGTTGATCTCATCCAAATCTAATCTAATTACTAGTGTTTTTGAGTCATCGTTGACCTGGATGGTCAGACCTTTCGGCCTAGGAAGTGTTTAAGCAATCGGTTATGTTTCACCCTTAACCTAGCTCTTGACCAAAAACTGTTGACTTGGTCACCGACCCATTGACCCAAGCGGTTGAACTGTTGACCCGTACAATGCAGACAACGGTTTTTGATCACTTTTTATTTTAATAATTATTATTATTATTTTTTTATTTTTAAGTTAGAACAGGTCATCCGTTCGAACCAGACGATCGCACCACTAACCCAAAAACCGGTGGTCAAATTAGTTCTTTAAAACCTTGCTAATTACTGCCCTAACTAATGGTGGCTTTTATGGATGATGTGGTTTATTTTGATTGGCTCAAACCAGCCTAAGTGTTCAAGCAATCGGTTATGTTTCACCCTTAACCTAGCCCTTGACCAAAAACTGTTGACTTGATTAGCGACCCATTGACCCAAGCAGTTGAACTGTCGACCCGTACAATGCAGACAACAGTTTTTGATCACTTTTTATTTTAATTATTATTATTTTTTTATTTTTAAGTTAGAACAGGTCATCCGTTTGAACCAGACGGTTGCACCACTAACCCGAAAAGCGGTGGTCAAATTAGTTCTTTAAAACCTTGCTAATTACTACCCTAACTAACGATGGCTTTTATGAATGATGTGGTTTATTTTGATTGGCTCAAACCAGCCTAAGTGTTCAAGCAATCGGTTATCTTTCACCCTTAACCTAGCCCTTGACAAAAAACTGTTGACTTGATCAGTGATTCATTGACCCAAGCGGTTGAACTGTCGACCCGTACAATGCAGACAACGGTTTTTGATCACTTTTTATTTTAATTATTATTTTTTTTATTTTTAAGTTAGAACAGGTCATCCGTTCGAACCAGACGGTTGCACCACTAACCCGAAAAGCGGTGGTCAAATTAGTTCTTTAAAACCTTGCTAATTAATGCCCTAACTAACGGTGGCTTTTATGGATGATGTGGTTTATTTTGATTGGCTCAAACCAGCCTAAGTTGTTCAGTTTGGGTATTGCCAATCCTGCTGAATGGCGATACAGTGATACTGTACCATTGTTATTAAGGGTTAGTTTGGAAGGAATATAAATACAAATTTATTCAATATAAACATATACAAAATAATACAAAAATACAAGGTTTTGCACTCTGTATATTTGTATTTGTACTCCTTTCAAACTGAGCCTTAAACTCAAGGAATATAAATACAATTATGTAGAGTGCAAAATATTATATTTTGTATGTAATTATATTGTACATATTCTTATTTGTACTTTTTACAAACTGAGCCTACGTAAGACGGTTAACTTTTCCTTCATATCAAACACAATCTAAAATAACATTGTTCGATGAGAGCCTATACGTGATTAAGGGTGTTAATGGACCGGTTTTGAATTGGACCCCATCCAGTCTAAAATCAATTTAGACGGATTGGACGGACCAACAAGACATTGGATTGGACCAATCTGGTCCAAAATATTTATTAGATTGGTTTGGATCTAGCCTGTTCGTAACAAATTTATATTGGATTGGGTTGGATTAAGCGAATATCTAGTTCATTGATATAAGATAAGAATATATATGTCAATGAACTGGGTTTGGGTTGAAACCAATCTAAATCAAAATAAATTTGAATAGATTAGACAGTCCATACATTGAATTGGACCGATCCAAATTGGTCTAAAACATTCAGTGGATTGAATTGGACCTGATCCATTTATAATGGACTCACATTTGACTGGATCGAATTGGATCAAATCCATTCCAATTGACACCCCTATACTTGATCAGTCGAAGTTCGTCTTTGTATTTAACGTACATTGAGAGGAAGCTAGCTTGCTATTAATCCTAGAAAGGATACATGCCCTCACTTTCAGAGCTCTACCCTTCTTCCTGAAACGTAGCTCATCATCCACACGACTGACTACTCATGCTATTCTGAGGACTACTTCCTTTTTTCTTTCTCTCATCCTGCAATTCCAGCTTTCTCAGACGGTGCCTCGCCAGCATCAGCCCTAGACCAACAACAAAGGTGGACATTAGACAGCCTGCTCCAATTGATATCAAGGCCAGGAATGAATCGGCATCAGCCCTCCGGTCTCTTCCTCCTCTTCTTTCTTCTTCAGTCACATGGATTTAGATTAGATTCGACTAACAGACCAATATAGAGTTCATGCTTAACCACTAACAGAGATTATGAAAAGTTCACCGGGGTTGTCATCGTGTGAACTGTTCTGTTCAAATGGTCGCCACCGTCCAGTGCCGTAGTTCACAGTTCACAGTTCAGGAGGAGGGTAAAAGGGTTCACAGTCCGCCACCCTCCAACTTCTTCTTCAAAAGCTAACCGGTTGAGGAAGAAAGAGACATGTCGTTGGTTTTGGAACTCAACCAGATCTTAATAAAATTGAAATACCTATTAGAAAAAAATGAAATATCATTTGGAGTATAAGACTGCCGTTAGTATGGACTCCCGTAAGTTTTACAATTAAAAGGGTTTAGGCTGCGTGGAGGTTTTTTATTGGTTTGGACTAGCAAGAAGCTGGTCCAAGAGACTAGCAGATGCGGATTCACCAACACCCATCTAGTCCCCTTGCCACGTGGCAAGATCACCCATTTGGCTGCTATATATGCTGCAGCCATGAATGACACGGACACCCACATCGCTTTGTGGGCCACCACCAGCAGTTTCACCGTTGATTTCCGTCTGAACGGGATGTTGCTCACTAGGACGATGACAATGCCGAGGGACGAGAACAATGCCACATTGTTGCGAGTTCGGATCGTCTGTCCCCTAGGGACAGCCATCCAATACTTTTCGACCACGTTATATTCGCCCACTTACTTCGAATCTAACGGAAAATATATGCTAACGGGCGGTGTGGACTTGAGTATTTATCAAATTTGTTTAACCCATAGGACTTTCTCTCTTTTCATTCCATCAATCCCAAATCCCACCGCCGAGAGTTCTCTTCTTCTCCCTCCCCTCTCCACCCACGACCCCTTCACCGCCGCCGAGAGTTATTTTCATTCCATCTAGCCGCTGCAAGTCTCTCTCCCCACCGATATGCTGCGCCGCGACGCGAATCGCAATCCTCTCCCGCCGCTGCAACCCTCTCCGGTGCTGTACTCTGGCCACTTCAAGAACCCTCTTTGCCGCTATAACCCTTGCCTGTGCAACTCTCGTGGTTCTTGTTCCGAATAGATTCGACGACTAAAAACTGAAAAGGAAGATTCAGTAATCGAATGTAGAGATGGCAAAGATTAAACCTTGTATTTGCTCTGTAGATATTAATTTGTATTTGTACTCTTCCCAAACAGAGCCTTTTTAATAATTTCTGAGTTTACGGGCGTTTCTTCTTAGAGAGAGTAAGCAATCAGATTTAGGAATCTCATAAATTTATTCACTTGATATCCATTTGTGTTTGATCAGATCTTGAGAATATATAGAAAAAGACTTTCCATTAATCCTAAGTCTGAGCCATACACATACAGAATAAATTTTAACTACCAACCATTCAAAGCACTCACATCCGAAGAAGTTGCAGGAAAAATGAAAGAATGGTAAGCCCTACCTTTCACCACTAATATAGAGTGCGTAGCTACATGTGATTCAAGCTTCCAACTAACAAGAGCTTATTCCAAGATGAAATTTGAACCAAGTTGCACCAACATAACGATATGATATATTTTGTTGATGATAGAACTCATCATGATTTTGAGTACTACGCAAAAATGCATGTTGCATGATCTCTATCTATCGTTCAATATGAACAGAAAGAGAAAGTTCTAATTTCTAAACTGAGGTAAGCTCTTTATCTTCTGCACATGATGTCTTTTTTCCTTTTTTTTTTCTTTTCATATTTTATCTCTTGTCATATACTACACTGTGATCGATCAGTTAGATCTTATCCGAATATATATGCCCGATGGATCGACTTCATTCCTTGGGAAGCTCGTGACGAAGAACCCAGGAATTTTGTACTTGAACTTTTCAGTACTAAAGAAGACCATTCAATAGGCAAGAAAGCTGGAATTATTAGATGAAACTAGTTGGCTACTTCCCAGAACCCAATGTTTAATTTAATGGTGTTCAGATCTCTGCAGGCTTGGTAATTAGATGGTTTGAATGATGAAGGACCACGAGAGTTGTAGCGGCGGCGAAGAGGGTTTTTGAAGTGGTCGGAGTATAGCATCGTAGAGGGTTGCAGCGGTGGGAGAGGGTTGCAATTCGCGTCGCGATGTAGCGTGTCCTGGGGAGAGAGAAGAAGAGAGAGAGAAAGCAGCTCAGATGCAATGGAAAGAACTATCGGCGGCGGAATTTGGGAACGATGGAATGAAAAGAGAGGAGGTCCGAAGCATTAAACAAATTTGATAAATACTTAAGTCCACACCGTCCGTTAGCATACATTTTCCGTTAGTTTCGAAGTGAGTGGGCGAACATGACGTGGTCGAAAAGTATTGGATGGGACAGACGATCCGAACTCCATTGTTGCAGAGCAGGTATACCTTGAAAGGGATTTCCTTTGCCTTTGTTGCCTTCCCATATTGATCATGGACACCGTCGGGAAGGTTTACTCCACCGGAAAATGCCACCGCCGCTATTAAAACGGCCACCACCGTTATGGTGTTCCGAACGTTGCGTAGGCTCTCATTGTGCAGCTCTAGTTGCTTTTCTCGGGATAATGGATTGGTGACGCCGCCCGCGATGCAAATTCGCAGGAGAATCCAAACTCTTCTTCGACCATGAAGATGCTCCGCTGAAGCTATTCTGGTGAGATATCCCCGAGTTGTCATTGGCGACACGCTGTACCTCTGGCGATCCTGGTGGCAATTGATAGCATCTTTTACCGCCAGCACATCTTGTAATGTAGGTATAAGCGCCAGAGCACCAGAGTTTCTGTTACCAGTGGACTCAACGACATCAAGAGCCGTGAATCCCTTGTGGTTAAGAGCATTTATGTCAATGCTTGTCTTAGTGACTAGATACGTAACCATCTGGTATCCGACCCGAGCCATTGAATAAACAAATTAAGGAAACCAAAGTCTTTAGTTACGATTTGTCTGGGCTTAAACTCAATACAGACCAATTAACCATGGAAGAGAACTTACTGCTTTTAGTTTTCCAGCCAGAAGCAATGTGTAAAATGGTGTTTCCGTCGTTGTCCGGCAAGTTTACAAGGTCGGTGATGTCGAGGATCTCCACCAAGTACCTGATCGCCTCGTACTGGTTATTCTTGACGCCCAGATGTAAAACTGTTTCGTTAGCATCTTGGCCTATTCCAGGCTTGTGAAAAGGATTTCGTCAATGACATTGAGGGTCTGTTTGGTTAGCTGTCGGAATGAGAATGGAATCGGAATCAAAATCCTTTGAAATTGGAATGTCTATTCCTATAATTTGTTTGGTTCAGACAGGAATGAAAATGAGAATTAAAATAAGTAGGAATGAGATTTCATTCCAAGGGAGGGGCAGGGAATGGCCATTCCCTCAAATAGGGAAATGCCATTCTAGTAAAAATGAAAATGAAATTCTGATTTTGTCCAATCAAACAGTTGGAATCGAAATGGACCATTCCAATTCCGATTCCAATTCTGAACCCCTATTCCTACGAACCAACCAAACGGGGCCTAACTCTTCCTTTGATTGCAGTTTGCAGCGGAATGGGAGGCCTTCTTCCCTCCTTGTCTTGCAAGGATGAGAGGTCAGGGTGAAGCTTTAAAAGCTCTATGGTTACCTCTAAATGACCTTTGCTGCATGGTGCAAAGGAGAACATCCATGTAAATCCCTTTTGCATGCAAAAAATCAGGGCGTACATTTAGTATTTCCTTTACAAATCTCTGCAGCCATGTAGTGATACAATAATAACGGCCTGTTTGTTGTATTGGTATACCCTGCGGGGGTAAATTGGTTAAACAGTTAATTGACTATATCCTGCGTTTTTTACAATGCTATATTGGATCTGGTAAGCGAATTTTTCATAGAGTATGAAAAACCCGGATAACCAATACCCTCTTGGAGGATGGATAAGTTTGCATATCTACCCTTTGAAAGTTCTGTTCCCCTCCTTTACCCAAATAAGTGAAAACAAACGGGGTGTAAGAGATAATTAAAAAATAGTTTATGTTTGTTGGACTATATATGGGCCCCTTTACGTACAATAATTCTGGGCCCAACAAGGGGGGAGGGGGGGAAGCTTTAAAATGGGCCTAAGCACTGGTCCATACATTCTTTGAAAGTTTGAATTAAAGACCCGTATCACTAGCAAGTCAAATGGTGATAGAAGATGAAACATGTTAGAGCAAGTACCCTTTAGCCCTTATATGAGGATTAAGGAGATAAGAGTTGTTCCTCCACTTACCTACATGCCCCGCTGATGCTGCAACGTGAAGGGAAGTAGTTGTTGTTCCTCCATCCTCTTCCAGCAATAGCAGCCATCTGTAACTCAACAGATGCTCCACTACACTGAGCTGCCCATGGCTACAGGGCACAGAGAGCACGCTCTCGCCATCGCCGTTCAGCCGGCCGGGCAGCAACCCAAGGTTCCGTCTCCAACAGCAGCCCTATCAAATTAACGTGTCCTTTACGACATGCTTCGTACAATGGGGTTTCGCCCTTCTCGTTCTCTTCCCACACCATCTTCGGCCCTAGCTTGATGATCTCCGAAGCCAGCTCCAGACGTCCGAACCTAGCCGCTATGTGTAAACATTGTTCTATAGGGTTCATGTCTTTGGGTGGGCAGTGAAGCTTACTGAAAAATGAAGTATGAAACCAAAGTGCAGCTTGACAATTTTTTAGAAACTCTCTCTCTCTCTCTCTGTGCGTGTATGACGACATGCCTGACCTCAAAGCGTAGTTTGTCGTCTTCGTTTGCATGATTCAGTAAAATTTCAGTCGAACAGGACCAACGACCAAACCAGCCCAAGCTTGCAAAGACCCTTAATCCTGTCCAGAGAAGGTTTAACTAAAGTATGACGGTATGACCCACCAAATCTAACTGCCTGCATTTTTTCAAGAAATAAACCTTCTTCATGTTTAAATGAAGTTGTCTTTTTGTACGGTTTGGGTAGTTGAAACTTGGAAAGGAAAATGAACGCTTTTCTCCTTGCTTCCAAGGAGTCCAATCATTGATGCGTCCTGATTCCCTCAATAAATACTCTATTGTTACAAAATAAAATATTTCAAGTCTCCAATTAATATAATTATATTCCATCATCATCATAATTGAATAATGTGAATTTAACATTCAATGAATAATGAATCCTCATCATGCTTTTTAGTTTATATTTTGTTGTCTTCTAAGCTGAATTACAACGTTACAACAAAGTCTACTAAACGCTTCAACCAAGTCTATGCCATTGAAAATGGAGAAATAATGAGTAATATATTTAGGGTTCGTTTAGTTTACATCAAAATCAAAATCAGATTGGTTTTTGATGAGGGTGGATTTGGTCCTCCAATGACATTGTGATACATGACACCTCAGAACAAGTAGGTGATACCCAGAATCACTTAGGCAACAACTTGCCAAGTTGATGGTGTCCAACTTTGTGGTCTGGCCCAGGCGCCGACTTGGCACATGCACTGACCTGGCGACCTGTGAGTCGTGCTCGTCGACAAATTCGACATGCATACCCCACGATCCTTGGAGGATGGCCCTCGTTCCGGAAGATGGTCAACGTGCATGGCAATTACCTCCAAGGATCTCGGATCAGTTAGACATGACCTCCCAGAGATCTCGGGGGCGGTACGTGAGCAAGGCCTATATAAAGGCACCAACCCTAGTGACAGTAGGGGGGCAAGTGAGAAGCAAGTAAGTCTCTAAAGAGCAACGAAACTCATCAATCCAGCTCATCACCTAGGCAGCCCGACACCTCACAGGCAGTTCACCACTTTGTCAGCTCGACACCTCATAGGCAGCTCGACACTATAATTAGCTCGCCACCTAGCCTGCCCAGCTCGACTCAGCTCGGTAGCCAAAGTTCTCCACTTCGGCCTGAGTCATCGGCCACTTGGAAGCAGACCAAATGACGAGGTACTACAAAAAATTGATTCTTCAGGTTCAATTTTAAAAATATAGCCACGATTCGGTTAATTAAACTATATACGAGTACCCTACCCAAAGCCAACCTACTGTTCGACACATTATTCACTAACTGTATATAGTGGTCTGTGATGAGGGCGGATTTGGCCCTCCAATGACATTGTGACACATGACACCTCAAAACAACTAGGTGACACCCAAAACCACTTAGGCAACAACTTGCCAAGTTTATGGTGTCCAACTTGGTGGCTTGGCCCAGGCGCCGACTTGGCACATGCGCCGACCTAGCGACCTACGAGACGTGCTCGCCGACAAATTCGGCATGCATACCCCACGATCCTTGGAGGTTGGTCCTCATTCCGGAAGATGGTCAACGTGCATGGTAGTTACCTCCGAGGATCTCGGACTAGTTAGACACGACCTCCCAGAGATCTCGGGGGCGGTACGTGACCAAGGCCTATATAAAGGCACCAACCCCAATGACAACAGGGGGGCAAGTGAGAAGCAAGCAAGTAAGCAAGTTCTAGCTCTCAGACTTTGTGATTTTTAGCTTGCAGTCTTCTATGAGAGTACTGACTTAAGCATCGAAGCGACCTCGTCGGGTTAGCTACCTCGGGTCCTCTGACATTTTCCTTGCAGGTCTTTAAAGAGCAACGAAGCTCATCAATCCAGCTCGCCACCTAGGCATCTCGACACTTCACAAGCAGCTCGACACTTGGTCAGCTCGGCACCTCACAGGCAGCTCGCCACTTGGTCAGCTTGGCACCTCATAGGCAGCTCGACACTATAGTCAGCTCGCCACCTAGCCTACCCAACTCGACTCAGCTCGGTAGCCAAAGTTCTCCACTTCGGCCTGAGTCATCGACCAGTTGGAAGCAGACCAAATGACGAGGTACTACAAAAAATTGATTCTTCAATTTCTACTAAATTTCTAATAGTATATAGTTCAGACAGGAATTGGAATGAAAATTAAAATCAACTGGAATGGGACATTATTCACAAGGAAGGGGAAGAGAATGGCCATTCCTTCAAATGAGGGAATGGCATTCTAGGGGAATGGAATTCCGATTATCCCAACCAAACAGTTAAAATCGGAATGGCCCATTTGAATTCCAAACCCCTATTCCCGCAAACCAAACTGGTTAAAGTGCCAAAAATGTATTGTAAATTATAATTATTGGTTTTATAGGCTAATAATACCATGGGCTTTTTGTGTGCGCCAGCCTTCAACGAAAGGTCCATGACTTAATTTGACTCTTGCTAAACAACCAAATTAGGCCCAACAAGTAATAAAACAAGATCGTTAATAGTCTTTTAAAAAATTTCCAGAAATGCGGTGCCAAAAATTCTGTAAGAAAGTGATTTTCTGTTCGTGATTTTTTGATATTATCAATTGATAATTTATTTAGGGCAAAAGACTTAAACCTCCCTTGAGGTTTCCGATAAGTAATTATACCTCCCCTTTTTTTGTCGTAGGACTTGAACCTCCCTTGTAATAAAACACCGTTAAGTTTGATGAAATAGATGAAAAGACTTTTTCACCCTCTGTCATTTTTCAAATTTTCAAAGGGAACAACCAATCAAAAGCTGTATTCTTTTTGAGGCCACGGTAAGGCTCGTTCAAATTAACCACGGAATGATTAGAGAACACAATTCCTTCTTGACCATATTGTTTTGAACACTGTAGTGACAGAATCAGTTTAGAGAGAGAGAGAGAGAGGCAAACAGGGAGAAAGAGAACCTCTATCATGCTGCCTAAAGAAAAAAGCTAAACCAAATGAAGAAGCATATCAACGTAATGACATATCTTTGAGAATTAGCTTTTGTTCCATCTATTTTATGGATAAATATAATCAGATAATTTCCCCTTTTAGTTTCACCGATCTCGAAATGATAAACTTGTGGCAAGGGTGTTAAATGGACCGGTTATGGATGGATTCAATGGACCAACAAGACATATTGGATTGGATTGCACCTGGTCCGGTCATAATAAATTTATATTGGATTGGGTTGGGTTATGCCAATATCTGGTCTATTGATATAAAATAATAATATAGGTGTCAATGAAATGGGTTTGGGTTAAAACCAATCTAAATTAAAATGAATTTGAATAGATTGGACGGTCCAAACATTGAATTGGACCGATCCTAAATATTCATTGGATTGGATTGGCCCTGGTCCATTTTGTAATGGACTTACATTGGACTGAATCGGATTGAACCAATTCCAGTCCAATTGACACCTCATAAGTCATAACTTGCCTGTACATCTAAAGATTTGTTTTCTTTACTCTTGCCTAGGAATTACGAGATCAAATCAGACCCCCACAAGATTTCCCTCCACAACGTTACACAGAACATCCCTGCCGTGTATTAGGAACATCTCCCGATGATAATACAAAAAATGATGATGTCATCATCAGTAGACCTGTTCATGGGCTGGCCTGGCCCCCGGGCCAAAAAGCCCAGCCCGCATAAAATTCGAGCCGAGCTCGGGCTTTGCCAAAATAGCTTAGCCCGAGCCCGACCCGACCTGACCTATAGTTAAACCTAAGTAAAAGCCCTATGTGATGTCCATTTGAATAAATTTTTTGATTTAAGAAGGTTGTTGATTAACTTGTAGCCCCATTGTTCATTTAAATAGGAGAAAAACATCTGAATTAAAATAGATAATGTCCATTTGAATAGGAAAAAAATCGAATTTCTTTTATTAGGTCAGGCTTTGGGCTCGGGCTTCGGGCTTTTTATCAGGGCTGGCTCGAGCCCAAGTTGTAAGCCCGTTGGTGGGGCCGGGCTCGGGCTCGGGCTCGGGTCGGGCCTAACATTTTTCTATTAATAAAGAGTAAAAGCCCGGCCCGAGCCTGGCCCATAAACAGGTCTAATCATCAGGAGATGTTCCCAATACATGGCGGGGATGTTCTGTGGGACGTTGTGGGGGGCAATCTCGTGAGGAGCTGATTTGAACTCATGAATTACAAATTCGTCCAGCATAAACTTGTGCAATTATGGATGGCAGAAAGTCTTTTTCAGCTTTCCCTCTTCTCAAAAAACGTTCCCTACATATCTACCGATATACATGTGCTTTATTTTCTTCTTCCATTTCCTATTATCAAGAGGGAGATCGGATCTGCTCCTCATATAGGGCGCCTCACATCAACCTCACACACACATCTTATCATGCATTATGAACATTTCTTATACTTATAAATTATTATTCACGGGAAATATTCCCAACGCACAGTAGATGTACTTGTAAAGCGCCCCTTTCGAGCTTTTGCTGGAAATAGGGCTGTAATTAAAAGACTGGCCAGTGTCTCAAACTTAGGAAGTACTAAGCCCATATTTGGTCCTGTTAGAAAATTTAAAATACATCGATCTTTACTTTATTTTTTTTCCTTCTTTAGCCCTAGTTTGTTTGCAATTTCATTTGTAATGGTGAAAAACCATAAAAAGTGCAAATGAATTGAATACAAATATTCATTCATTTTTATTTTTATTTTTACTCTGTTTTGTTTGTTTGCAGGTGCCAATTAAGTGAAACAAAAACCTAAATGAAATAAAGCAAAATCCAAAGCAAAAGTGAATTAGAATTTAAGCATTTTCAGTTGTAACCACATACATTATACTAACACAAACGAAATTGTATTGTAAACAAACAGAGGCTTAAATGATGCAAATATGATAAATGAAAATTTCATACCATAAAAAAGCTTATTAAAAATAAAATCTAAATAAGGAAAAATCCGGAGATATATATTATTAATGAATAAAAACTTACTAAAAACCGCATTTAACCGCTTAAGCTTTTAAATTGAACGATTTTTTGAGATGGTATCAGATATTTTTTCACGGTCTTGGCTTTATACCATGCGTTTTTTTTTTTTTTTTTGTGGATAGAAAAAGCAGAAGTTTTTCGGTGCCACCATATTTGAACTTGTTTTGAAATCAGGCCACTAATAATTGAGGCCTCAAAATGTTGAAAATCCTTCAATTTCTGGAAGGTGGGGACATGAAAATGTATCTCTAATATGATCTATGGCTAGCTGGACATGTACCCTTTTGAATATTTGTCTTCTACCCCAACTCCATCAGGATGGAGCCAGAAACTAAGATCATGAGAATCACCTAAAGCAACTCTTGATGTTGACTTCTTTCTTTATAATAATAATAATAATAATAATAATAATAATAATAATTATTAATTATTATTATTATTATTATTATTATTATTTACAGGGAGATAACTATAAAATCTGAAAAGAAAGGATGATGCTCAGGAAAAACAAAATATGTGCCAATGAAGATTTCATAGAAATATAGACACAAAAGTTAAGCAGAAAGGGAGAGGATGAAAAGATTTTATTGCCACGAGGAGATAGAAGACAAGAGCTAGCATTTTGGGCCAATAAATTGCCAGGAATCTCATATTTAGGGGAAAAGGACCTCAACTAAATGGGTCCCATAAATTGAAGCAATCTTAGATTTTTATTATATGCAGTTCTAGGGAGCGTTATTCAATGTGAATTGTTTTTCAAAATTCTGATTTGAAAACAATCAGTTCTTAAAATAGGAACATATAACATATGCTCTTGTTTGTATATGTTGTTCTTGTTTTCAAAACTGATGAAACAAAAAATATGTTTTTAAATTTTTAATTCATAAAATATGTTTTCATCTAATTATTTAATATTATGATTCACAAATTAACAGCAAATATGACTTTAAATAGAATGGATTGATGTAATCGATTTCATGTAGTTGAGATAAAGCATGAATGATGATAATAATTATATTATAAAACTTGTTTTATTTTTGAAAATTATAATTTTGATGATTTCAAAAAACATGTATCAAATAAAAGCACTTAGAGTTTGCTTTTCAACTGATTTGACAATTTCAAAAACAAAAACAGGATGTTATCGTCAGTAAGTTAGGAGGGCCCCAGACAGCAAATATGGGTGCAGTAGCCCCACAGCCCATGTCATCCCAACAAAGAAAAAGTGGGGAAATGGGCAGCCTGGATGGATGGGCCAGAAGGAGAGATGGTTCTGAGCATGAGACAGAAACCACAGAATAACCTTGTTAAGTTTAATCAGGGACTCGGGCCAATTAGTGTAGAGTGTACCATCTATTGACTATTGTAAGGTCCGTCCGTTCACTCCCCCTTTAATTTACCAGTGCATCATAGTCATTATTTGCATATTCCAAAATATACAGACACCAGTACTAGCATCAATTTTGCAAGCTAAGAGTTGGCCCACAAGAAAAGAAAATGAAAAAAGATGTCCACCCAAAACAAGCACAGATGATGCAAGAGAAAGTGGGAAATCAAGAAAATCAAATGATCACAAGAGGATGGCTCACAGCTGCACTGCACGATGCACATCACTAGTTTTCATCCACTGTCGTTGAACTTGAAAACCAACATTTACTACACAAGGCTTTACAGCTACGTACAGGCCAAAATGAAAGCAGCAGATCACTACTGATCACAAAGAATAAAAGGAATAGAAGAGCAGAAGCTTCTAATCCTTCTATTATTACAAATTAAGACAATGGATTGGAACAGCAAGAATTGATTTCAATCTTGTAACTCAATCAAATTGGATTTAGAATTCGCTACTGGAGATAGGAGCATGGTCAGTGCTCATGAACACATTGCCATAGATGAGGCCGGCCAAGCCTCCGCCAATGAGGGGACCAACCCAGTAGATCCAGTTGCCCTTGAAGTCTCCGCTCGCCACGGCGGGGCCGAAGGATCGAGCAGGGTTCATGGAGCCACCAGAGAAGGGCCCGGCTGCCAAGATGTTGGCACCCACGATGAACCCAATGGCGATAGGGGCGATGATGCCCAAGGAGCCCTTCTTAGGGTCGGCAGCCGTGGCGTAAACCGTGTAGACCAGAGCGAAGGTGATCACAATCTCGAAAACAACACCTTCAAAGGCTCCAACTCCCGCTGCAACACCGTGGGTGGGAATTGTCTGGAAATAAAAACAGGTGGGTCAGATATTCAGATGGCTTCTCTAAGAACAATTAATTAATCCACGTTCAATCTCTCTCTCTCTCTCTCTCTCTCTCTCTGTTTATGTTTTAATCTTACCAAGCCTCCTGTGACTGCCTTGAGGAGGAAGCATGCTACAATGGCTCCAACAAGCTGAGCAATCCAGTAGAAGATTCCTGTGAGGATGGTAATCTGGCCACCGAGAGCCAGCCCGAATGTCACAGCTGGGTTAACATGGCCACCGGAGATGTTAGCGCCAACTGAGACGGCAACAAAGAGGGCGAACCCATGACAGACAGCGATGGCTACAAGTCCAGCAGGGTCGAGGGCGGAGTTTGATGTTAACTTGTCTGCAATTATACACAAGAAGCCACTTCAGTTGCTATTTTTCTTTCTACCAAACTAACTTAATTTTACGTACTTTTAGCAACGAATATATTTAATTAATTATTGACCAAACCCCCTTCCCCCACAAATAACAAAACAAAAGAATAGACAAACAAACAAAGGGAAAGCGTGGATGGATGATATGAAGAACTTCGGCTACAGTTTTGAACCCTAGAGTTGGAGCAAGCCCATGATCACAGACATCGGAAGCTGTAAAAGTACTGTGCAGAAAGTGCAACTTCATACCCTAAACAGCCACAATTTACTCATTGGAACCCAAATATTTAACCCATGATCAGCATGGTTAAGTCCATCTGTCCCTATATATAGTTATTAGGAGACATGAAGATCATCTATCACAAACACTTAAAAGCTCCTGACCACCAATGAATGAAGATAAACAGATTCTTTTGTTTGGGGGGTGGAGAAAAGCACTAACTGTAAGCTATGGCGGAGCCAACTCCAGCGAAGACAAACAGTAAGGTGGAGATGAACTCAGCAAGGTAGGCCTTGAGGGAGCCTACGCTAAAGGAGTCATCAAAGCGCCCGAAAGCGATTCCGGCCATCTCTAAACTCTAGAATGACAGAAAAGAGAGAGAGATAGAGAGATAGAGAGGGCTTGATCACACACATACACACAAGTCTCCAATGGAAAGATGTACATATATATATATATACACACAGAAGTAAGTGAATATAATATAATAATTCAAAAACCAAGTCATAAGAATCACTTGATAGTGGATGAGGAATATGACGTGGATAAAAATCATCTATGTGCATACAATCAGATTGAACAAAGCAAGCCTAGCTGTCATTAACATGGGTGCAGAGGAATTGTCGCGAAGCTCATTAATAATGCGTCCATGTGACCGACCGCTGTTTGGTTTCAAAAAAATAGGGGGAGAGGCCCATATGTGAGGCAAATTATGATAAGGAAAAGGATGGGTGATCGACGCATGACTTTGTTTGGGGCAGTAATTGCACCGACCATGTTTCAAGGACGACCCATTCATCGTTTGGGTGGATTTTTGATTTTTTCTAATTTAGTGGATAGGATTAGCTGGTGGGTTAATGTAAATTAATGGGTTTTTTTTAGCAATATGGGTCTATTTCTTAACATTTTCTTGCTTAATTTAAGCTTGGAAAATGGGGTCATGGGCCTCATGGACGGCTATATATGATCAGAGCTAGATGGATAGAGAGGAATCTTGATTAATCAAGTCTGTTCGGTTGTGAATAATTTTTTATTAATTGTTTTGGAAATCTCTAGATGAGAGAGCTTGGTCTTCCTTGTGTATGTGTCTCTCTAGATCTTATGGGGTTTGATTATTTTATGATCCCGTGGGATATTTGGTTATCCCCTTGTGATGGTTTGTCTTTAGAGATCAACTTGGCAGCTGGGTTTACTTTGTAGTATAGACAAGGCCAAAGGAGTAGTTGTGGATCATTGAACACAAACACCCACACACACCTACACACTCTCACGCCCCGCCACACACAAACATACACAAAAAGAGCACTCTCTCTAGTCCAGTCCATTGAACAGTCTCTTGGGTGCAACTTGTCTCCCTTTGCACAGAGAGAGCACCCAAAAAATCAGCTATCAATATTACTTGAAATGTTCCTTTGTTTTCAAAAGTGAGAAAAGAGTTGTTTTTGAAACTTGGAAAATGATTTTTCAAATGCTAATTTAAATTATAAAATGAACCCTATATATACTTGAGAAAATGAGAAATAGTTGATACTGAAAAATGCATTAATGACTCAATTTCATTTTATGGGAAATTTAAAGATTAACTCACTTTGTAGGGCCTGTTTTCTTGAGAAGACACTCAAGCATACAAATTAAACTACAACAAAAACACCCCTTGGCTAAGGGGTCAAATCTTGTTGGGCAGACTTTGTAGAGCATCCAAAGTAGCTATATCTCTGTTGAGTTCTCTTTACGTTTGTTTGGATGAGTGTGTCTACTTCGTATGTACCAATGAGATGATCCCACATCAAAACGGTGGTCCATTTTCAGATTATAGGGCAAATAAATGATGAACAAGAACTAAGGAATCCTTCATCAAGGTTAGAGCCCACATTAAAGTTAGATGTATTGGATTCTAACAACATTGATGGAGGATTTTGTTTCGTGTTCACAGCTAATTAAGCTTCTCTCTTAATCTGATGTGGACCACCCTTTCATGCTTCTTATGATCGAATTAGGGCCCATTTAATAACAAATGCTGAAGTGGCTGAATTCAAGGTTCAAAGTATGGATATGTGCGATATGCAATTCAAAGGGGGCGATTCACTAAGATTAAAAATGTTTCAATCTTTGAGAATTGACTCAAGGTATCTCTAAGAAGGGTGTTCTTGTTCATAAGTGGCCACGTGTCTTAATAAATCCTCTTATTTGACATACCAATGGATTCAAAAACTGATATCGGTTGAGACACACTAGTATATATTAATTGTGATATTTCGAACCTTGGCTGAACTGAAAAGCTTTGTTGTCTTGTCTTTTGCTAAATAAGTTTTCATGAAGAGGTTGTGGGTTCCTTAATAATTGAAGTTGAAGTTGGATAGATTACTGTACCATTGAATATTTTATCATCTAACTATTATTACTGTACCCTTGAATATTTTATCCACTAAAAGATACAAGTCAGTAAGCCATTCAATTAAGCAATTTTAGAGATTGTCAGCATGCTTATCCCCAAGGCCATTAATATTGCACGAGTTAAAACTGAACTGAAACAATGTCAAAGAGACACAGCTAGCTAACTTAGAGAGAGAGAGAGATCACTGTTTGAAGAACTCTTATTAGAACATTTTTTCCATTGCTTTTCCTTTGTTTACTTAAAACCAAAGCTTTGATGAAGTGAGTAGCTGAACAATAAATGAATAGCTGACAAATTCATTACTCATTTTTTAACAATTGTGAGAAGGTTTTGGTCAAGAGCAGGTTGTTAAAATCATGAGATACAGGAAATCGGGTACAGGGTACTCCAGGTCTATGTATAATTTCATATTTATTTATTTCAATATGGTATCATATGTAGTACAACATCCATTTAGAATTTTGGAGACCCTCCATGTGATAGACTAAAATGGATAAATATGGAAGACTTTATTGTTTCAATAATAATTAAATATGAAAATAATTTGGAATTTTCTTTTTAATTTCAAATATTATGATATTATGATACAAGTAAACTAGCTATCACCACTTGAAGCTTGATCCAGCAGGGTATATATTAATCCTTGTTTTTTCCACATTCCATATTCAATTTTTTTTTTCTTTAAAAATCAAAAACCTTTAGAATCCGTTGGATTTGGGTTACCATGGTCAGTATAAGCAATGTTCACATGGTATTTGGTTGGTGGAGAAGAAGAGGCCAATGTCTTCATCAATACATCATCCTGTATTCATGGCAGATTCAGCCCAAAAACCAGCTCAGCTCCTGCAAATTGGTGCCAGAGCCCTTTCTTCTGTCAAGTTGGCATGATGGCAAATCCAGACTATAGATCAGATAGAAGACCTTATCCAATCCACATCATCATCCCTGTATTATTCACCATTTGTGGAGCCTTTTTCTCCATCTGTATTAGCTGCCAAAAGCCAGCTTCGCCCTTTTGAACTTCTGGACATAAACATTCTCCAGGAATAAAAATAGATGGGAAAATGGGTATAAGAATTCTCAGTGACTTAGACCTCTCGTTCCCAGATAACTCATCCCTACAAAAGTACTGCCAGCCAATTCCTGGTGTGCAAACCGGATATTAGCCAACTTTTGTGGGCCTGAGGACATTGGACAGCTGGTAGTTTCAGTCTTGGGCTCCAATTAGGATCCACACTCTGTTGGCTCGCACCCAATGTGGTTATAGGGCCTACTTAAAAACTGTGTACCATCAAATTACTTTTAAGTTTTAACCAATTCATCTATGCGTTAGGCCCCGTTTCGGACGGCTTCTGAATTTGCAGAGATTTGCACCAATGTTTTTAAAACCGGACGGGATGGGACGGTTGGACCGGAAAAACCGGGAAACGGTCACCTGACCAGTTCTGTTTTCTTCCAAAATCGCTTTTCCCCCCAAAAGTGTTGATTTTGGTCAGCAAACCGCTGAACTGGCTGGTTAACCGTTTGAACCGTTCGAATGGTTTTGACCGGTCATTCGGGTCGAACAGTCGGACCGTTTGAACCGGTAACCAGACCCCTGACCGGTTCAGTCACCAGTTCGTTTTTAAAAACCATGATTTGCATCAACTGAGTGAAACAGCAGGGGTCGAGCCTATATTGTTTTTTCAGATTTTCACCAAACACAGTTTCAGATGTTTCCATGTGGGGTCGAGCACAAAACAGAAGAAACTGCATCTTGAAAGACCTCTCAAACAGACACTTAGTATGTGTTTAGTTTTATTGGCATTTATTGAATAAATGTTTTGTACTTGATGTAGCTGTAAAATCGAGAAAAACAATTAATGAATGCGTTTATGACACATAGGCACCATTAGGCACCACAACAGCAAAAGTACCAATAAACGCTTACCCGTTAGGAGAAACTCCAAAATAAAACTTCCTAAAACGGGAGAAGCGCGCAGAAATCAATATTTGCGTTTGCAAACATCGATAATGAATGTACATAATGAGATCTTTGCTGATGGACACCTATGTAATAACGTTTACTCAATAAACGCCCACAGTTCTAAACACCTTATTAATCTCCAAGATTTTTAAGAGTTTTATTATGCTGGAATATAATCTTTCTGCACCATCCACATTTATGCTTAATAAGTGAGGCATTTTGATGATTTTTCACCCTAAAAAGGAGGCAGAGAGACTCATTCACTTGATGGTTTCTATTAATACCATTTTCATTTCACCATCACTATAATTATGCCACTATTTCTTTATTCTTTCAGGGGAGCGGGTCTGCCCATGAAAATGACCCGAGTATTATGACATGCTTGGTCGGTTGTTATCGATGTTTCCCTGTAAATCCTTTACTCATGGATCAGTCAAGTTTCGGCCCAAAATCCCTTGATATGGCTAGATTGTCCATATCATCTCTTCGTGGGCCTGCCTTTGGCTGAATAATTTAGCCCATGGGCTGGGGTCGAACTCAACTTATTTAGGCCTTGGTGATGCCATTGGTGTTCATGAATCATGATAACAACTTTATATGCATAACGCTCTTTAGTGGTTCATGAATCATGAATCAACCGAAGGCTGACTTGTTTGCTGCTGTGTTAATTGGTTTGTTCCAGCTTTCATGTAAAATCAAATCTCACAATCAGTACTTTGGGAAAAAAAGGAGTTAGGGAGAAGTTACTAATGGTGCATAGCAAGGAATACAAAAAAAAAAAAAAGAATTGGGCTTGTATAATCCATAGGTTTTGATCTCTTGACCCATTTATTAAGAAAGAGAGCATTTGATGCGATTAGCAACCTAAAAAACCAGCATTTGCAATAAATTTAAGGAAAAAATATATGATGCTCGAAAGATATGACCACAGAAAGGATTTGACCAATCAAAACCTCTCATGAGAACCCACTTGATTGGTAACACTTTTTATGATGCTGGTTGATTGATTTTGTATTTTTTTTTCCGGTATTATAGCTTAACCCTAAATTCAACTAATCATATCAACTGTTTT